GGAGGAGAGAGAGAGAGAGAGAGAGAGAGAGCTAACGAGCAAAAGCCAATTTTATTTCCCAAAATATCCTCACATCATCAGCCAATAGATCATGCATCAGTAAACTAGCACTATTCAGTTAGTAGATACCAAGTATAACAATATGTTTTGACATGCTGTCACGGACAAAGTTATAAACGGGGTGTTTGATGTATTAATCATGTATGTCCACGTCTTTCGGTTTTGTTCATACTTTGCACAGCATATAGAGAGCTGACAGTAGACTTAGCAGCCCCATTTTGGTGGGCTTTGGTGGCTGCTTTAAGCTTATAAACAAAGATTGTGTCAATTCAGCACTTATGGGGATTTTGGTATGTAGTGAACCATTTTGGACCCTTTGTTGTGCGACCGTTCATAGCTATCGAAGTCTATATTTGTAATTTATATTGGCTATAGGGTGTTTACTGAAATGGTTGCTTGTGGATCCCGACTGAAACGCTTTCTCTAACCCGTTTTCTCTTTTGTAAGTCTTAAGGGACCATAGAAGATTTCGGAAAGGTTGATCTTTGCGGATGGACACGCAAGGGTGCAGCACGACTTCGGCAAAACCAGCCAAGTTCGTGACATTTGGTATCAAAGCGGAACAAGCACACTTGGAAACACTTTGGCATACAAACTTGGGGGACCTAGTGGGGCTGCGTTGAGGGCAGCCAGCACGTACAACCGTTTGGGGGAAACAGACATTGAGATGTAGGGAAATGAGTCGCTTAGAGGAGCAGGTATCCGAGATTGGCATTCAGAGGAATGGCCAACCCTTCGAGCGAGAGGCACCACAATGACAAGCAAGTTGGAAAGAATGCGTAGCACACCAAGGTTGAGATGGTTGAGTTTAAGCTACGGCTAGACGTTGACAATCAGACTTGACGGTACTCAAGGCAAGCGGGGCACTTAGTAAAGGATGAGACCGTGCAAAGTGAGATGGGTTGCTCAGTGACCGAAAGAGTTATACAAAGCTCACAAAGGTGAGGGGAATTACTAACTCAAAGAATTCGATACTCATGCAAGGGCTTGTATGCGGACGATGGAATGTTCGTGACCATCCCAAGACGACCAAAACTCGACACGATAGAGCATTGAAACTTTCTCTTCGACATAAGAAGGATACGTCCGTTAGAGGCTGAAGTGTGCAGTAAGTTCAGTGTATTGCTAGTCTTAAGGGGTGCAATGGGGGTTGTATCAGTAAAGAGTCTAAATCTAACAAGTGCGTTCGCAGGGGCAGCACAATTCGTAGTTTGTTCACCAAAGCGTAATAGTCCAAGGGGATGGTGGTCTCTGAAACTTCCAGAGGGAAGGATGCGAAGAAAAAAGTTACTCCAACTGGACAAATATCCAAGACAGATAAGTCTCAATTCTCCAGAGGGAGAATCATATGCAACAGACCGCACATGTTGAGGAGTACATCAAGACAACAACTCCACAAAGCTCGACAGACCGAGCGAGTGGCGAGGAGTCATAGCATGATCTCACATAAGGTAATGCATTGCAAGATCAAGTGGGGGAGCGACCCAAGACAATACCAAATGAAGGCACACTTGGAGCCGATATAGAAATCGGACTTAACGGAGGGCTGACCCATGGAATGGTGGACGCGAGGGCTACCATTAACTCAATGCAAATCGAGCGGATCAACTTGGGTATAACTTGGTGAAGTACCCAAGCCGCATGAAGGGAGTCAGCATAGAAGATGGAACATAGAGCGGAGGCACGAAGTTTTCCTTGAACAGAGGTCAAGAACATAAACTCTTGTAGAGGCAAAAGCGGGGTCATGTCGTTCCATAGGTCCCTAATTCTGATGGAGCAGACTCATCCTGAATGGTGCCAAAGAAGAAGGGAGCTTCGAAGTACGTGCACCTTATCTCGAAGAAGCATTTGATGGAGGAACTAAGGTGACTCAACTTGCGAAGACGACGTTGGGTCAGAAGGTCTTAGCACAGGGCAAGAGGATACGGAGCCGGGTACTCTTAAAGAATATGTTGTTATGCTGCCATTCGAGTTGCCATAGAGGAAACTGTGCTCAGCGAAGCTTGTGCTGGTGGGGGCAGAGACCTAGGATCCAAATAATGGTGCACCAATTTCAGCGAAGTCGATGGACTTCGGGAGCTGCTAGGCGATGGGCTATTCTAGAGCTATGCTTCGTCTGGGTGTGACATGAGAGCGGGTGGACGAAAGTCGATTGCCAAAGGAGTGAACATAATCGAAGGTGATAAAGGCCCTGCAATGTGTTGGTAGAGTCTACACACGGAGAGATCGCAGCCCGAGTTCATCCCACAATGATCAGAATACAAGGGAGATGTCACGCCAAGTGGCGACATCGAGCAACGAATCATGGTGGAAAAGTTACATGCAATGCGACACACATGAGACAAGTCCTACGAGGGACTGGATCATACGGAGGTATGATCGGGAGCTACTGGGAGCTCCACTTCGGTGAACAACACAATGACAAGAAGGGCTATGGATTCAAGGAGTGAATGTTATGGTACCGTAAAGGCGAGTCTTCTATGCGTGCATTGAATGAAAGCTTTGATCATCAGTATATGGGGGCTATATACCACCAAGAGGGAATTCCGAATGCAAATACCGGTGAGTCCCATAGGGGGACTTGATCATGCAAAGGTATGATCGGAGTGGTTGAAGAGTTGGACTACTTCAGAGCTCATATTCACTAAAGGGAGCCCGGCAAGTCAGAGGATAAGGCCGAGTAAACGAACGTTACTACTAAGAAAACTAAGGAGAACATAATCGGCACGAGCCCAGCAACATGATGGCGGAGGCCATGTATAGGAGTTGCAATATGTCTTTCCATCGATTAAAGTGAACTGCTCGGAGAACACAAAGGTGTTAAAGCATGTGGTCAAAAGGGGTGAGGAAGCAACGACGAGTCCAGAGAGAGTTAGCTACCCAAAACCAAGCATCGGTTAGAATGAAGGTGGACTCGGAGGAGTGTCACAGTGTCGCAAAGGCTGATCTACTAATCGCGAAGAAAGGGACGCAGATGCGAGACAACGGATAGGATGCCATGGGCATGGCAGCACCATAGTACCGTAGAGGCAGGACTTCCGTCGAGTCATCGATCCCTTGATCTCATTAAGGGAGCACTTGGTCATGAAAGCGGCCAAGTAGGTGGAGAATGTAAAGGCAAACTCCAAGTATCGAGACAAGGCTGAAGGGCAGAGGCCAAGGAACTTCGTAAGAGTGGTGTCAACAAACTTCTCATCAAGATAATCGAAAGTGGAGGACTTCGGGTCGATGCAAGAGTACTCGATCAAGGAACGAATTAGGCAGTACGCGGTGCTGTACCTTTGCTACTCAGAGGAGTATGCGACAGAGATGATGGAAAAGATGAGACAATCTCAGAGGCGACCAATACTATTAGAGACTTGCTCCAAGTTGGGGTGAAAACTTCTTGCATTCCAGAAGTTTGATGGCATTGAGAAGGTGAATCATAGTAGCTAACTTAACAAAAGGAGTGCAAACACTTCGGGTGCTTCAAATATACGAGCACAGAGCAAGCGAAAGCTAGTAACCAACTCGATGCATTGTCACAGACAAACTTCTAAACAGGATGTTTGATGTAATGCTTATGTATGTCCGTGTCTTTTGGTATGTTCATGCTTAGTACAGCATGTAGAGGGACGACCGAAGGCTTAATAGTCTCATTTTAGTTAGGTTGGTGGCCGCTTTAGGCTTGTAAATAAAGGTTGTGTCATGTGGACATGTGTGAGAGATTCTCGGTCTGTAATGGACCATTTTGACCCTTTGTTGTGCAACTGTTCAGAGCTTGTAAAGTATGTTTGTAATTTGCATTGTTTATGAAGTGTTTCCTGGAATGTTTGCTTGTGGATCCCGAGTGAGACGTTTTCTCTAACTCGTTTTCTCTTTTGTGGGTCATAAGGGACTATGGGAAGCTTCGGGGAGGCTGACCTTTGCGAACGGACACGCAAGGGTGCCGCACGACTTAGGCAAAACCAACTAAGTCCGTGACAGCATGGAGTACAACCATCGTGGAGGCACGCGAAATCAAGTAACCCTTGCCTTCTCAACTCTTAAGAGAATGGGCGAAACCGAGTACCCCAGTTCTCCTATTTATCCAGTAGAAAAACTATGCACAAGTTTGAAGACCCTTCGAAGAAATATAATATAAGACATTAGTTGTCAAATCCTCACTAATGGTGATCGGTGCTACTGAGAGTAGATTGTTCGCTTCATTTCCTAATAGAATGTTAATAAAAAACGAAAGTGATGCGAACCTACCTAGAAGTGACAACTAAGTGGAAGAAGAATCGACAGGCAAACTTTGCAAAGGACCCGAAAACTTTACAAGGCGATACTCGTTAAAGCTCCAACAAGCATCCACCCAGTTCAAGCGGCATAAGGCGTTTGACAGACTGGCACATACCAAGGATGGTCTTTTCCTTCATCTGAAGGATCCGCAGGAACCAATAGGGATCAGCACAACTCAAGCGACCCCACACCAAAGTCAGAGTCATTAGCGAGTTGAAGCAGCATAGCGAATCAAAGTACAACTACTCAATAACAGCGGCGGAGAGTAGTTGGGAGCCAAGAGGCACGTTGCAGTTGTAGCAGAAGATTGAAGACTTAGCAAAGGCGAGGAGATGCAGCATTTGCAAAGGCCTTGACGAGGACGTCGAAGGAATAAGTGGAGGAGAATGTCACGAACAAAGTTGTAAACGGGGTGTTTGATGTAATGCTCGTGTATATCCGTGTCTTTCGATTTTGTTCATGCTTTACACAACATATAGAGGGCGAACAATAAGCTTAGTAGCCCCATTGGCTTTGGTGGTCGCTTTAAGCTTGTAAACGAAGGTTGTGTCATATGGGCACTTGTGGGGATTTCGATCTGCAGTGGACCATTTTGTACCCTTTGTTGTGCGACCGTTCAGAGCTTGTAAGGCATATATTTGTAATTTGCATTGACTATAAAATATTTACTAAAATGATTGCTTGTGGATCTCGATTGAAACGCTTTCTCTAAGTTGTTTTCTCTTTTGTAGGTCCTAAGGGACCATAAGAGGTTTCGGGAAAGTTGACCTTTGTGGACGGACACGTAATGGTGCCACATGACTTAAGCAAAACCAGCTAAGTTCGTGACAATGCATTGGCATTTTTTAAGTTTTTACATGTGTACGCAAGAAGCAAATGACAAAGTATGTGATGTTTTATTTTGGTTTAAAAAATTAAGGTGGTCATCATATTAGAGTTGCATTAGCCTGCATTAACATTTTTCAAGCACAAGTTGTGCATTCACACACAGCATAAGAAAAGCAGGTGAGAAAGTATAAATTTCTTTTTATGGATTTCTAAAATACATAAGATATGTATTTCTAAAATAAGAAAAGCAAGTGACAAAGTATTTTTGTTATTTCTAAAATAGAAATAGATATATGTCTTCCTTTTACTCTTACTTGACTAATTCAGGGGCATCTACTCCGCTCCCCTTGCATCTTTCCAAAAACATTATAAGGGTTTCATTTAATTAATTGGAGTTGTTCGTTGGCATAGTGTCTCCGATATGAACTTTCTTGTATCAAAGTTGGTTAGTTATTATTGCATGGACTTAAATTGCAACCAAAAAGGCCAAAAGGGTTATGGGAGAGCCCTTCTCTGTCTAAATTTATCAAGGCTAAGTTGTAAAAGCACATAAGACAAACAAAGAAGGGACAATCACTAGTCAGCAATAGAAAAGGTTGTATTTTATAATCTGTGAGCTAACCTGACCACGATCTTTCTTGTCTCTCTGAATTTCCAAATCTTTGACAAGTTTCAACCAAACATCTTTCACTTTTCCGGGCTGAAGGTCCTTTAAACTTACATGAGCACAACCAATAAGTTCAGATGGCTGTAACCCTTCATCATCATATACCTTTATTGTCAAATTCTGAGTAGATGCATCCTCAACGACAAACTCGAAATGTTCATTCCAGATAGGGTTTAAATCATTATTCTGCAAGGAATATAAAGTCAAATCCAGAAAGAAGACAATAAAAGGTAAAAAACCTGCATCTATGCTTACAATAGTTTTGCTGGTCTTCATTCTGTCACGTAAAGGGCGTATATATAACACAGCGTAGGGATCAGACTTCCCTATTATGTCCTTATTTGTCAAGTCTCTAGCTTGCACAAGCTTTACTTCCAATATACCAACAGGTTTCAGTTCCAGGTCACTACGTAACAATATGAAAGTCATTGATGTTGTAATACAAATGAAGTCGTACTTTTTCATGAAAAGAGCAAGAATATAGCATACCTGTAATCTCCAGGCACAATAGGAACAACTTTCCGTACTGGCCATGTTATTGAATCTTCGATAGCATCACGAATCGTTCCCTGAACAATGACAAAGTTCTTTAATCAGTAAAAATGTCTATGTAATTACAAACCCTTTTTTTCTATTCTTTATTATGCTTCTCTCTCATAAAAGACATGATGTGGTAGACTGGAGATTTGTAAACCTCGATTGCATCTGAAATTCCAGGAAGAGATGATATGTCACCACCAACAACTTTAAGTGTAAAGTCCAGTTTTTTCTACAACAAAAACCAATGATAAGGAACACACCAAAACCTAATAACAAGGAAAATCGTGAGTTGTTAAAATTAAAATTGTACCTTCTCTCTCAAAGAATAAGAAACAGCTCCAAAACATGGAAACTCGTCCACTAGCGGTTTAAAAATCAAACGGAATACCCCTGTAAAGCCAATGTTTTTCACCTAGTTTAAAACAATCAATAGAATTGTTGTCAGTTTAAGGTTATGTAACAATTAAAAGCTCCATGTAACTTTTTTTTCAATTTTATCAATTCAAATTCTTGGAACAGTCAAACAAGGGAGAGAAGTTCCTTTTGGATGCTTGCAATTTAAGAGCAATAACAATTCCAGACATATTTCTTGATTGAAGTGTTTGATTATAATCTTATGCATCAGCACATTAACAATGGAATTTGTTGCAACTTAGCTCTCTAATTTGTATTTGCATATGTGACTAAACTGCCTATCTGTGGAATCGTAGGCCAGTTGCAACACAGAACCAACCTTCCTGATATCTTCTTAACCATCATCATCCTCCGGCCACTCTTTCTGACCATACCTACAACTATAAATAACCTTTTACAATATATGGACCCTTCTGCAGCTCCTCCCAATACCCACCAAACAATAATTTACAGGTGCATACACAAGAAACCAGATAAGTATGCCTACAAATTTCAATAGTTCAACCAAAAAGTTCAAATACATTCCAAAATGAAGCAACTTATTACGATGCAATCTTAACTACAAGTATTTCTAATCTAGGGCAACCAAAATAGCCCTGAAATTTATATTAGCTCAGCACCTTCTGCAGGCACAAGATGAATGCCATAGTGTACAATTTCTAGTCTATCTTAGGAACATCATTCCAAGATGAAGGAGCTGATGTTGATGTCTTATTTTAGATAATTCTTATTATATTACAGTTTTTATGAATATTACTCATTTTCAAGGCGTTGAGAAGTGAAAAAAGCACCAACAGTCAACAATGTCCAAGTTTCAAACAAGATAATTCAAACCCATCATTAAAATTAATCAACTTCCATATTGGTGCCATATTTACCGATAGCTGAGCAACATGTACTCCATGTTCCCTGACATGAGTTTCAGTAAGACATGGGAGTTGCTCATGCATACTTTGCCGCACATTGTTTTTCTATACCAGTGAAAGCTAGCATGCATAACAAAAGTGCCAAGACTACCAAGGTATTGACTATGCCAGCACAAAAGACGCTCAGCATATGCCCTAAAACTCGATGCATGTTGTTAGCATTCACATGAAACTGGCAGAAATTAAATCACTAGCACTAGGATAGACAATGAACCAGCAAGAGTAGGCAAAAGATGGAATCCAATCAGCCCTAAGCTTGCATTTGCATGTCACATGGCATGTCAATCCCATGGTGTATCCATATCTTGCCGAATATAACAAAGTCATACATAGTATCTAACACCTCAAGAACATAAATTCATGGCAAGAACAGAAATGTTGTAAAATCTTCATCAAAATAAGCCTTGCCCGTTTGATTCCATTTAATCTTGAAACATATAAAAATGACAATATCATTTAAAATTTAAGTTTCCTTGACCACAAAAATGAAACATGCAAGCAAAAAAATGGGTTAAGCAGCAAAAAGAAAAAAGAAACAAAAATCGGCTATCTGAAGTGTATCAGTATAGGGTGAAATATCAATGCAGAACTTCATCCAACAAGAGAATAACCCATCCAGACATTGTCTGGAATATCAAATTCATTTACTCAAAAAAATTATCATGAATGTGTTCACTTTTTCCTATCAAACAAGCTCAGTGTAGACAATGGTTCAGCATCGAGAGTCTCCATTGAGGATTTTATAAAACTCTACGATCAACTTTCAACTTGACATCACTTAAAAGTATCAATTATAAGTTACTGAGCTTACCGGCTGATACCAGTATCCTTTTTTATTTATGACAGCTGCCATAGCTATCAACTTCCCTTTTCTCACTCCTCTCTCCCCCTCCGACTCTCCATGTCTGTCTCTCTTTCCCTGCTTCGCCTCCTCCCCCTCCTCCCTGTCTATGCCTCGTTACTGCCACTTTGCAGCCTTCTCCTCCCCACGGCATTGCTGACACCGCCTCCTCCTACCAATGTGTGTCTCTATATCTTCCTCATCTTCCTCCTCCTCTCCTCTGCCACCTGCATCTCCTACTCTTTCACTAGACAGACCCATACAGAAGCATACTATGTGTCGGTATGCCCAAATATATCAGGTAGCGTACCAATCCTTCCGCAAAAGGCAAAATGAATAAGTTTTTGATGAAAATTTTAACCCTCGATCAAAATGCATCCTATTGGTTGCAGTTTAGTAAAAGGGAAGTGAGAAATTTTGTCTAGGGAGTACTGTCATCATGAACTATATAAAGTAAAAGAGAAGTGAGAAATTTTGTATAGGGAGTAATGTCATCTTGAACTAACAACAAACCATAGAATCAATGATACAACATGTTGGGTGAGAAGTATTAGCTTCATAGGATGAAGAATGGAGCAATGTTTATCCTTCAAGAACAATAATACAGAGAACCAATGAAAAGCAACATCTTGCGCAACAACTATTTGCTCTATTACCTGTATAGGAAGCGAAACACCAAGTCTTGTTCGAATATCAAGGATGATATTTGGATTACCATCCCACTGCAACTCCAACTCCATTGTGATTCCAGAATTATCATCCTCGATTAATGAAACACCTAAAAAACATTACCTTTTTATGACCACTAGTTCCATAAGCTAAAAAAAGAAACTTCATAGCAGGATAGTCAGTTACAAGAATCAACACATTAACTCATACTGTCATTAAGATCGATAGGAAAAAGTGTAACAAGCCATGCATCCCTATATATTCATTCTGGATGAAGTTATGCAATTTACAGTGTTAGAAACCTTTATCATAAAAAATGGAGACTGAAATAATAAAGACTTATTTCAATGATAACAGAGAGCAAATTTAGCTATAATCCATTTGATTTTCTGAGAACAAGAAAAATATGCCTTGTGCAGAATCCAGGTGAATTAAGAATGTATCAGCAACTTGAAAGCATTGAAAAGATTTAAGATGCCTGTTTAACTGTATAATTGGCTGATGAAATATCGGAAAAATTATCAGCAGTTTAGCCATGGTGGCTTTTTTCTTCTTGAGAAAAAACTTCAATGCCTGCAAGACGGTGGTCTAAGAATGCCAAGCATTATTTCTGCCAAGTTCACAAACAGAATTTTTAACGAAAAGACTGTTTCAGTAAAAACAATTAAGTATGTTGAACAAATAAAACAATTCTAGACAAAAGTATTGCCATCCTAAGCTTGATTAACTACTATGGTTGCTTGGCCTCTCCACCATCCAAAATAAAGGACAAGAAAAGAAGAAAAAAATGTGCAAATGTATGCGGATTATATTACTGTATATCATATGTAAATCATAAAGTTCAACTATGAAGAGTATTGTGATTATTTTGGTTCTTATACAAATATGCCTTTGTGCCAAATCGCACCTGTGAATTGTGGAGCAACAGTACCAAGAGTAAGCTTCGAAAACTTCAGAGAACTTAAGACAGCTGACTTATATTGTTCGAGCACTGGTTCAACAGAAGTTCTTATCAGCTCGGACGCGGCCTGTAGCAATTGATTTGTCAGACTCAAACCAACTTCTCAATGTTACACTAGCAGTTCCAACTATGTATAGTTTCTCATAGTAGCATAATATATAGAGCTCAAGCTGACAAAGTTTCAAAAGAGGAACGTAAAGCTAAAAAAAAAAAGAACATAACGAGCACCTCATTGACATAAGGCCAGATCTTGGTCAGTTCAAGGTTGAGCCAGTTCAACTGTAAAGATTACAAAACAGGAATCAGAATACGGAAACAAGGGAAACACATAAAAAAGTTCAGCAAGAAGGAAAAAAGTAACCAAACTTTTGTCGCTGGGAGAAAACCACCCATGAAGGGTAAAATTCAGCCGGCAGCAGTTTCCGTGAATCCTCTACTGTCATTTTTGAGAAAGCTGCCACAGTAGCAGCCTGTAGCAAGAAAATTCACATTCAGCTCATCCCTAAAGACCTCGAAAGGATTACATTCTTACCTTACACCACGCTGTCGAAAATTTGTACAATTAAAAAGCTACTGTTTGATAAAACAATGGGATAATTAACATATAATTTGCATTTCCAAACCCTAGATCTACTAGTATGCTTAAATCATCATATTAGAAATCCATATACAATAATCTTCTGTTCTGTCCTGTTTTAGATCACAGAGATACATGAGTTTACAGTCTACTGTCTCGCTACCGCGAATTGATCCACAATCTCTCACAACAGACCAAAATACATAATCTCCACGCGTTTCAATTCATTTGGTGAATGCAAAAAATTACCCACACCGTTCCAACCTGGTTCCAGATGAGACAAAGGAAAAGAACGCGTACCAGCTCGCCTCGGCGCTTGGATCGCGCATTCTCCGAGTGGGCGAAGGCCATGACGAGACCGACGCCGATAACGACCCCCAGGAAGAGGCCGACGAAGAACCCCATTGGCGGAGCTCCTGCCGCGGGCTTCCGATCTGGCAACGGGAGTCTACTACGGGAGAGGGAGGGAGGGAGGAGAGGGGAGATCTGGATGTCTTGACTAGGGTTCCTCCTCCATCGATGTGATGGGGCGCGCTTGGTTTGTCGATGCGTGCGGCCTTCTGGTCGACGGTGGGAGTCATACGCTATTCCTACCAAGGATCTGCACGCGTTGTTCCCACTTCGTTGTGCATCCGATTGCCACGTCCGATTTAACGCGCCGAGCGAGGTCCGCGCGTCATCGCGTACGATGCCGAGGGGAGATCTGGTCGGCGCGTAACAGTCAGAAACGGACGGGGTGAGATGGTGACGTGTCGGTATGACGGGGACTCGGCCTTGCCGACTGCCACGTCTCGTGACTATCACGCGACTGCGTGTGTGCCGAAGAACTCGCCCACGTCCGTTGCTCGTTCGTGAGAGAGTGGATTTGGTAGAAATAATAATATTAATAATAATAATAATAATAATAAACATTTTCTATTGCTTTTATTATACTTGTTTTATTGAAAGAGTTAATTACGTACACAGCCGACAAGCCACTTGCGGCCGCAACGCCTCGTAATTGATGGCGAATTGGTCCACGATGTGTAGGGTTTGTCCTCATTTGGTTGTTCTTTGTTCGAGTACTTGTCGTGGTGGGCTCTCACCGCATCGACGTCGTGCGGCGAGATTACGTGTGAGCTCAACAGTTGTCGCGGTTAACGGTGGCTCGAGTACGAGTCGGCATCAGTGCACACGTAAGATTGCGAAGTGAGCAGTTAAAGATGATTCTGACGGTTATGGTCACGTCACGTCTACTCTTTCACCAGACAACGGTAGATGATGTTGATTCGACGATCACTGGTTATTACTGTAGTCTGATGACTTTGGTACACGATCTCGTGTATCCTTATTGATATTTATCGTGATCTCGACTCATCAGTCATTTTAATCCATTAAAAAAATTATTTTTTGACTTATTATTGTTCTCTTTCTCATTTTACTAAATAATCTACTACCTTAAATATTGAAGAGATATTTATTGGATATATCCTGATGCAATTATTGTGGGGTTATTTGAATTCTTGATCTCAATATCTTAGCCTACGATGAACTTAAAAATAGATTTTGATTAAATCCTATCGAATCGTTATTTGAATCCTATCTGAATTCTTGATCTCAATATCTTAATATTTTAAGGAAATTATATAGAACCATTACAAGAGAATTAAGAAGATTAGCTCCCTCTAATCCAAATATGATCTTTGTAGAACTGATAGAGAATATTTTTTTTTTAATCCTTAAACCCTCAACCTTTAATCATTTGTTTAGTGAACTTAACCCCTCGATCAGTGCATCCTACCAACCTTCCACTAATCTAACTTAATAAGTTCAAATATTAGTAAAGATCATACAGATAATTATCTCATTCTTGCCCCCAACTCACCAAATTGGCCAAACGAGAGGCATGCTTATTTTTCCACTCTTTTATTAGTTCCTTGAAAATCGATACATGATAATGTGATAAAAAAATTGAATCGATACTATAATAAACTTCTTGAGCTATGGACTTGTCGCACCGCATCTCAAACTAGGGAGTGTGAACCATTAAAATGGTTGGAGATACACTACATGACAACGTTACCCACTTAAAGTCAAGGATCAACTCTTTAATATGAACTAGTGTCTTGAGGATATAAAGTGAGAGATTAAATAATGAAAATAACATGTTATATCTAAATTCAACATGTAGTCTCCATTCACTCATAATTCCAATGAAGAATCAATCACCCAATATTCTTTCTCCCTATCCTAAAGACTTTTGATGGGAACTTAAACTCGTCTAAGTATGTTATAATTTTCATAGCTCTGATGATCTTATATACAACAATGGATATACTCATCTATGCATCCGTTCCAACTCCTCTTCAAGAGGCAACACAAAAATGGTACACGTGATTGCCCCCTCATTTTATGAGCTTGTGTTAACGAATTAGTCATAGGATTTGAGCTCAATTTCACAAGTTATAAGCTTAAAAAAAAACCTATTATTGCTCTTATAGCCGAGGAAGATGAACCCCTAGCGAATTACACTAAAAGGTTCAGTAAGAAAGTAAGGGTAGTGTCAAACCTAAACTTGTAGATTCTCATCAATGTCTCCATTAGCGACCTTTGCCCCTCTAGCTTCTTTTGATCGATAATTAAAAAGCCACTTATAACATACCTATAATTGCTTTAAAAAGTTAACCAATATATTATAATTAAATCTTTAACAATTAGAGAAATAAGGCAAAACCAAAGAAGCTAGCAACAACCTTTTCGAATGACTTTCAACAATCAATCACGAGGTAAATGACTTTGGGGGGATTATGCTCTACCACCAAGAAAGTTCATTCTCCTATACATTTCCTAAACAGAAGTGTTTTTTCAAATTAGAGAAAAGAGACTTCTGTAAGACCTCATTTGTAAGGAGGAATAAAACAAAAATATTACTAAATTTATCAAAATCACAATCATGACATCAAGGACTATTACGATTGAAAATAATAGATTGAAGAGCTTATTAGGAGGGGACATCTTGACCATTATTTTTTATAGGTTCAAAAGACATCCTTATATTCTCAAGGCCCAATTTAATGGTAAGTTGATGTTATAATCAGAGGGCCATCGTTGAGATGAGATAATAATATAGTTCATGTCTTAATGCTTAAAAAATTATGTTATAAGACATCGAGTAAATGGTGACCTATAATCACCTTCAAGGAAGAAGATCATTAATGCCTTAGTAAAATGGATACTAAACATGACAACAAGTTGGTAGTGTCACTTAAGATCATTAATATTTTAGTAAAATGGATCTTAAATCAACATTGAGAATTCGATATATATCTTATACTTTGATGTCTTTTAAAAGGTCAACATAACCGTAAAAGATTTAAAACCAACCTCCTTTTTATGCTTGCTAGCTTCGTAGACAAATTTGTCACCCCTCGATTCTGGAAGCTCCCACAAGCATGAATTTGCCAAGAGCACCTATGTTGGACGAAAAGGGACCTTCATGGGCTCAGTTTAGTAGCTTGAAGCCTCACACGTGAACCTATCCCAATTAATAAGATAGTTCGTAAATAGACAACTAGGTTAGAGGTGGGTGTTGGGTGATCTTTCGTCGCCTCTCTTAACCAATAATCGAGAACTAGGGCCTTCTTTTATCCTCCTCATCTTGCTCTATTAAGAGGACTCTTGAGAGATGCTCGATTCGGTGATCAAATGACACTCATAGTGGCTTATGTGACTACTCGTATTGTTGTCATTGTTCCTATTATGGCTCCCAATATCATTCTCATTGCTACTTCTTTGTTAATCGTGAGGAGTCGTCCAACTTCTTACATTTTATTATCAGTGGTGTGAGAAAATCTTCTAACAAAATCCATTTATATGAAAAGAAATGCTGAGAACCAAATTAGTAGTCAAGCCGCTAAAGCACACATTATAATATACATAATATAAGGCTAGTGTCGAGGTGATGCAAAGACTATGATATTTCTCAACAAATGTTATAGATAGTGTCATAAGTTCAATTCTATTTGAGTAGGTGCAACCTCCTAAGCTTATAAGATCATGATAAAAAAAATAAATAAAAGGATGAAGGAGAACTGAAACTCTCATCGTGCATAATATAAATACAAAAATAATGATTTGACATATAACCCCTACCTTCGAATAGTTATAAGATCAAACTCAGAATGAAATAGTTGTATTGAATGCATGAGATATAGTTAAATAAGTGAGTCATAGGTTATTATACTCTACCAATAGAAGGAGCCACCCTCAATAGAGTAGCCTACCTTGTCGTGGGATCTCCAACTTCTTAAGAGTAGGAGGAAGTAAGGTTAGCAAAGACCGAAATCGATCAAAGCTCATGGAAAATGAAGAGGAAGAAGAAGACATATTGGATCTTCAAAGGTGGGGTTTCAGGGGTCTACTAAGCATTCTCAGGTTTAAATATTTGAAAATCTGACATAAGGTCTACAAGAGTGCATAAAATGAATAGAGGAAGAGTATCCTCTGTTTATAAGGTTGAGCGATCCTTAAGCTCCATCGCAATACTCTTCAATTGCATAGCGATATAATTGGATAGGCAACGTGAAAATTTTAGATCGGCAAGATTAATTGTCAAGATCACGATCTCCTCGAGTCCTTAAAGATTCGTTGGGAGTAGACCTATAGCTCTTTGATTAGACCATAGGGTGCAAATTATCAAATAACTATTGTGAATGATCATAAATCAAATAAAATATTACAATCAAGGTAGCATGCCTAACAAAAAACAATGCGAGTGGATTTAAATTATTGAAGTGTTTGTTATACAAAAAAGAACCCAAAGTTATGAGACTACGCGTATGCAATTAAGAGCTAAAACGATGTGACCAAATCCAAACATGAAGCATTATTTGTTGATGATGCGATCAAAATTAGATCATGAAGCATTCCGATTATCATGTGATTGAACTCAACTATAAAGTATTAATCAAAAATGGCATGATCTAATTTGGCTATAAAGCATCACCCTTTCATGTATATGGAGGACAAATGATTTGAGGAATATGACACGTCAACTACTTGACTAGCACGTCAATCGAGTTCCAATCCTATGAAGTCAACAATGTGATATCGATAAAAACACTAACTCGACGATGATAATTAAAATCGTAATATAAGTCATTACTCTAGAATTATGGCCTAAGGATTCGATGCACAATCTCACAACTAATAAACTTTCTTGATATTTAGCATGATCTCGAATCAATAATCACTTCAATACACTATAAAATACTCCGGTGGTGCATTCCCAAAAAGATCGACTTTTAATTTTAATTTTTTTTATCAAATCATTTGAGTAATTTATTAACGTAAGCATTAAAGGAGTTTTTGTTACGTACTTCGCCGACGAAGTTGTTACCTAATACATAGATTTTTGATATCTTACAATGTCAAACTAGGAAGTGCACAACCAAAATCTCATGCAAATCAAAGGATGCCTAACGGATGTTAGAATCCGTACCCGAACCCGTTAAGCAAAATTTCGGCTATCGAGGTGTCGGCCACTTGCGAAACGAAACTACGCGAGAACAGAGAAGGAAGCCCCGACGGAGAGAGAGAGTGAGTTCAGAGGATGCCGGAACTCCCGGAGGTGGAGGTGGCTCGGCGGGCGATCGAGGAGCACTGCGTCGGGAAGAAGATCACCGGATGTTCGGTGGCCGACGATCCGAAGGTCATCGATGGCTTCTCCCGTGCTGACTTTGAGTCCGCCTTAGTCGGTAGGAGCATCGTCGCCGCTCTCCGCAAGGGGAAGAACCTGTGGCTCCGCCTTGACTCCCCGCCCTTTCCCACCTTCCAGTTCGGTCGGTACACCCTCCCCAGTTCATTAAAATCCCCGCTTTTTAATTGTCTCAGAAAGTTTCTTGACCCGTCTTCTTGGGTTCTAGGGATGGCAGGTGCGGTCTATATCAAGGGCGTGGCCTTGACCAAGTACAGAAGGTTCTCTTTGTTTCTCATCCAGATGATCTTATACAAATAAGGAATCCGAGCTTTCTGTAGTTCTCAAAGCTACTTTGGTTGTTTTTAGGGCTGCGGTGAACGATACAGATGAATGGCCTTCGAAATACTCGAAGGTGTTTGTCAAAGTACGAGTTTTGTTTCCATGCCCTTTTTCTTCCGTTCGTGCTCCTGTCGCTTGGTTTATGAGTGTCGTGATGAGGATTTTGGGAATGCAATTAGCTTCCTATTGCTTAAAATGGAGACATGGTTGCTTGATAACCAGATCAAGTTATTCAATTGAAGTTGCTGAAATGTCTTGTCGTATGTGAAGTAACTACATTATGGAAACTCATACAAAGAAGCAGATGACAAGAAGATTAAAATGCTTGATGCAGATTAGAACTCGGATGTTGTACAGTCGAGGATGGTCTGGTTCGAAGTAGTTTAAAAGATAAAAATAACTTAGAGGACTGTAAAGTGAAATGGCACCGGTGGAGTTTGCACATTAAGACCAAAAGGGACCTAATTTATAATAAATTAGGCACAAAGTAATTTGCTTGTTAATGCACCAACTCAATGTATCTGATTAGACTTCTATAGAAAAAGAACAATTACTTCCTGTACTTTCTGATTAAATGTCATTGAACATCATTCCATTAATTATAATAGTCTGAGGTAAATCATACAAGATCAAAGGCAGCAAGAATTTAGAATCAAAATTTCTGTATAACGGATTTTACTTCCATTATTTATGATAGTCTGAGGCAAATTATAGATTGAAACCAGCAATAATCTATAATCAACATTTTTGGTACAATGGATTTCTCATAGTAGACTAGCTAAATGCTCATCCTCCATTGCATGCAGGGTTTTCATGTCTCAATCTGTAGAGTAGAACCCTAAACAATGTTGAATGGATGTAAGAGGGAGTAAAATCAAACAGTCTGAATATGTCAGATTCATAACTCAACTATTTCTAAGCGTTCTCTATATTCATTATGTTTAGAAGATAATATTTTTGCTTGAGATTACAATTTAAGGGTTAGGGACTTACATAAAAATACCAGTAGTCATCCTTGTTCTCCGAGTTAATTTTGCCTTGTCAATGAATATACCTGCAGGAATTTTTGTTCTCTCATTGACACAACATCTTTTTCTTCCTGATTTTACTAACTTTTGTCCATTGAATTTGCAGCTAGATGATGGGCTGGAGTTTTCTTTTACTGATAAGAGGCGTTTTGCCCGAGTTCGCTTGCTTGATGATGTATACTCCAGCATTTCTTGTTCCATGTTGATTGCAGTCATTGCAAACATTGTCCCTGTTCTTACAGGCTTTATTTGATGCAGCCAGAATCTGTACCTCCAATTTCTGAGCTAGGGCCAGATGCCCTGTTAGAGCTTATGCCAGTTGATGACTTTGTGGACTCACTAAGCAAAAAGAAGATTGCAATAAAGACTCTCTTACTTGATCAGGTTAAGAAATATCCTTATCGGAACTACTTCTGTGTGGTAGTTAAACGTTTTAGAATCTGAGAATGCCCTTTGATCTTTTCTCATCACCTAAGAGGTGTGGTATAATACATTGTTTGTGGAATTGATTTGGTTACAAATACTGCATCTAGCTGAAAGACATGTGCTAACTCATACAAAGATCTGTATCGTTATACTTTGGTACATTGCTTTAGCACTCAAGTTTTTCATTTTTTTTGGTGAGTGAAGGTGTTAGACATAAGGTGGTTCTGTTTATCTCACTACTCATTTTCATGAGAGCCTCTTTCCTGTTTTGCTGAATTCTTGTAATACAGTTATCCTGATGATGTTGTTAAGCATATCAAAATTCATGACTTATTTATGAGAATCATTCAAGTATGTACTCATTATTTATCAAAACAACTACTGAATATTTATGTGATGGTTAATTAAGTTCAAACAATTAGTTCTGGGCACAAAGGCAAGCAATGATTACTCCTATGTCACAACAATATCAACTGAATTTCTTAGAGGTAGTTTTGTTGGTCTGTCAAGGTAGCTAATGATTAGCTCTAATATAATTTGTTACAAAAAAGTTGGTTAGAATAGATGCTGAGATTGCTAAATGCTGCAAAGTTCCCTTTAATAGCTCGTAGAAGTCCTTAAAAGCATTAGATCTTGGTCTTCCAGAGCACAAGTTGGGATACTTTGGAGTGTTTTATTTGTCTATATCTTTATTTTGTTGCCTTTAACTTTTACACAAGATTTGACTTACTCTATATTTGAAACAATGTGACTGTTAATTCTGTGGACATATTGGTTGGTTTATTTTTCTTTGCATACCTTGAATTTTGGATTAATACCAACTCTCTCAGAATTTTGTTCTCTTGCTGCAGAGTTATATTTCAGGTATCGGTAACTGGATAGTAGATGAGGTGCTTTACCAGGTTATCTGCATTGCCTTCTTGTCTTACATATGCTTTTACATGTCTAGGCAGATTCATTAACCTTTTTCCTAGTTCAACTTGAATAAAACTACAACTTTCTCACACATGACAAGCTCTATGTTATTTACCCATTCTTTAATATGCCTTTTCCTTGGGATTATGCTGGCCTGAGTTGTAATGTTATAAGCTTCTATCTTCTGCATATGCTACATAAGCTGTTCCTTCATATAGGTTTTGCTATTTTTCCTGCTTATCATTTTCCAACATAAACTATTCCCATGTATATCTGAATGGACAGACTTTCGTAGACCTTCTGTTGTGGCTTCCAACCTTTTTTTTCTCTTTCTTCTTTACCTTATTTTACGGTAAGAATTGCTTCTTTGAAATTGTTGGAAGATACTCTGTGATTAGTCTGTTCTGGATTACCATCCAGCTTGCTTCTTTCAAATGGAACAAATCATTTGAAGAGGGTCCTTGAGTAGTTGGGCCAGCCACCCAGCTATTTCTGAGCGGAACTATCAAAATTAGATTGAAAACAACCTAAGTAATTATGACCAAGTCAAACCCCAGGCACTTGATTTCTCTTCCATGCATGTTGATTTTGTATGTGTGTTTGCTTCTCATTGATAAAATTGTGCATAGTGTTGCATATTGTTATTTTTTCTACCTATCACAGCCATAGCCCACCCCTGGATAACGACAAACCCTTTTCTATGTAAAGTACCTTTTTCATTTACAACAGTACTGTGTATGATTTCATTTAAAGATGCCTCCTATAAGTGTGACACTCATGGTTTTAACAATGTGTAGGCGAAGCTTCATCCCCTTCAAATTGCTTCAAGCTTGTCAAAAGAGAGTTGCAAGTCATTGCACAGATGCATCAGAGAGGTGAGTAGCATAAACAATCATCTAACTGATAGTTTGGGTATGTGTAAGAAACTTTTGTGATCATTTAACAGTTTTGAGTATGTGAAAGAAACACTTGTGATTCTTGAGACAAAAACTATGGAAGGGAAATCTGTAGATTATTGAACATGCGGTTGAAGATATATTGACACCAGTCATTTTAGAATATAATGATTATTTCATTTCTCAATGGGGAAATGTCTGGGGAAGGTCAAAATAAGATACCTCTTTATGATCATTTTGACACACTAGTCTGTATTTACAGGTAATAGACAAGGCCCTGGAAGTTGGAGCTGATAGTAGTCAGTTCCCCAAAGATTGGATTTTTCATTCTCGTGAAAAGAAATCTGGGAAGGCCTTTGTAAATGGTTTGTTTTCTGACTATAAATTGAATGCATCTACTTCAACTTCAAAGATTGGTTTCTCTAAAGCATTAGGCTTTTATTTCAATTTATTGATATTTGTAGTCATCAAGTATCTGTAATCAGCACTCTCCTGAATTTCAGTTCTTTATTTGGACCACATTGTAACTGTAATCACCTTCCAATTTTTGTTTGAACTTTAGAGTAGATCCGTGCTCACTAAAACCAAGGTTTTTGTTCCATCAAATGGAAGCTATGACAGTTTTCTGATTGCTGTTCAATAAACTAACTGTAGGTCTGATAATATTCATGCTTAGAGAGTGGTTATATATAGCTTTATTTTGCTTAATTTATTTTGGCTATGTTTGAGAATTCTAATGTAGCTTTAAATTGTCATATTTTGGGCAATGCCAATAGTTTAACAATAGAGGATTTGTTTGCGGTTTATTTAGGTTTTACAAAGATATCGCAAACTTTGTTTTGCCCATTTATTCGCCCAAATTTCCAATAATGAGGATAGCAATATGCTTTCCAAATTTAAAATAGTGTTATAAATTAATGGAATCATGGAGCAATTCACATAGCTAATTAAGCCTTTGGTGTCTCCTACATTGTAAACATGAGTGCAACTCTTCCCAACTCTCTGAAATTAGTTGCTACCAATGAATTTCTGATGTACTGATGGTAGAATATTGATTGGCATGTTACTCGAATTGTGGCTAGTGGAATTAGACCTCAGGAGATGTGCGATAATGGACTGATTTTGTGAAATGGTGGAGAAGGATTTTCCTTGAGATGCAGGAACTAGGAGATCATGCGGATAATGTTACTACATGTGATGAAAGAAGAAAAAGAATTTGTCATCTGATTATTTTCATACATCAATGGCAAATTTAATGACCTATTGGTATCTTCATATCTCATGTTTTTTGGATGCTTGCTCTTCTTATTGCATGCCCCTGTATGGATATCCAGAGAAACAAAGGAATGTAAAACTATAGATTCCTCTTTTTTTGTCAGGGAAGAAGATCAATTTCATCAAAGTAGGTGGCAGAGTAAGTCCTTGCTACTTAGAAGACTCTTCTTATCAATTTATATGTTCGTTTAACTCATCATATCTGTGGGCAGACTTCAGCATACGTGCCGGAGTTGCAGAAGTTAACCGGAAATCAGTCAAAAGAGGCTCCGAAAAAGAAGTCAAGAAAAGCCAGGTCCGATGTGGAAGAATCAGAAAGCGAGGAAGACGATAATAATGGAACTTCCAAGAGAAGCAAGACAACTGAAGGCGTCGAGGGGCAGCAAAAGAAAAAAACCAGTGAGTTCAAGAGCGATAGTATTCCAAGCAAAGGAACGACGCAGAAACAAGTCAAAGCTGCGAGAGGCACATCAAAGAAGCTGTCAGAATCCAGTCGAGCCACCACACGACAGAAGAAAGCAAAAATATAGGTGTATGGAGGCTAATTTTGAATCAGCCATCTTTTGAAGGAGCATTTTGGTCTTCCTGTGTGTGCTTATTGTGCTTTAGGATACAGCTTGGTTGATGGCACGGTGACTGGATATCAACCGTATCACTGTCATGCAAAGTTACATTATAGCTGGGAACTGCTGCCATGGCATTTTGCTACTTGGCCATGGTTGCAGGTGTGTGATGCTCTTGTTTCTGTTTACATGTGCTGCGTGCTGCAGTCATTTGGATTCTCATAGTTCAACTTAACGAGGTGGTGATGCAAAATTTATTCATAATATCTTATAGAACATTCGAGGATTCTCATAGTTCAACTTAACGAGGTGGTGATGCAAAATTTATTCATAATATCTTATAGAACTTTCGAGGATGACTTTTTTTGTTATAATAGTAAGGTTATTTTTTTACGATCTGAACGATGATGATCATTTAAAGCAAGGTTCGTAATATCGTACCGTACCGGTATTTCGACCTGGGCTCGGTACCGAGTGGTACACCCAAGTGTACCGAGCGATACACCTGGGTGTACCGAGTATTGTAGCACTGCTATAGTGCTACAGTGTACTGCTACAGTGTTACAGTGCGCTGCTATAATACTCTCGGACCGGTACGAATCGCCCGGCAGACCCTGATTTAAAGTATGGACATCAATGATGAAGTTGATATCCTTGATAAGAATGATACGTTTTGCAATGTTAGGATAGGAACTTTCAATGATGGTGATATAGTCTCAAAAATATCTGTGCCTATAAAAGTTGGTCAGAGGGTGCAAATAAATATATAATTATATATATTTTAAGGGAAAAAAGAGAAAAAAGAATTCCTATAAATCACTGGATCGAAAAAGGTGAGTTGGAGCAACTGAATCGTTTTCTACTATTTTCTTTTCTTACCCCAGTACGTGTACCCATGTGGCTACCCGTTTCAAGTGACCAAATACCACCCCTCGTTTTCCCAGCAAAGCATCAAAGTCGCAGACTCCAATCCCCAATCCCTTTCTTCCCGTTCCGTCGAACCCTCGATTTGGAGGACGCCGCCGCCCTCGCCGTGGATCGATCCCGAGACGGTCTTGCCCGAGATCCGGCCGAGATCGCCGCCGCTGGATGGGAGGAGCGGCCTAGAGGAGAGGAGGGGGAGGCGGCGGCGGCGAGCGAAGGGATCGAGGACGCCATCGAAGACCAGGCGTGGAGGCCACCATGTCTGCGGTAGTCTGCGGGAAGAGGTCATCTTCCATCTTCGAGGAGCTCCTCCACAGCACCCCTCCGCCGGCCTCCAAGAGGGCCCGCTGCGCCTCCTCCCCGACCGCCTCCCTCCGCGTCTCGCCGTCTCGGGCCTCCCCCTCTTTCGACCACTGCGACGGTGAACGGATCGCGGCTTATCTTGCCCGTCTGAGGTCCCTGTTCCCCGAAATGGATCAGCAGGTGACTTTTCGTTCTCTCTCTCTCTCTCTTGTCTTTGGCTGCTGGTCATTTCATTCTTAAGATATTTTTTTAATGTTTGTTTACGATGGTTAAGTTTATGCACAAACTTGGGACTTTCATTATCTTCGGATGAATCCTAGAACGATCTGGTTTGACTAGCTGGTCATGCACACCGATTCCATCCTTTTTTATCACAAAATGGTCATTATCTAGGCTTATATTGGCCTATTGGTGCATTTAGGATGTTTTTTGTTTCATTTATTTTTCGTGAGAGGCAGGCGCTCATGGCTGATCAAGATGATATTGGAAGATATATACTAATTCTATGTATATGGATGATATTAATTGTACATTTTTATTACAAAGTAGACAAATGAATTTTTTTTAGCATGGTAGCTCTAGAAAGACGTGTCCCAAGGCCTTGGGGTGGTAATGGGGTTTCACAAGCTGGTGCTGTTAGCTTTTAAGGTGTTTGATGGGCTCATAATGTCCTCTCATCCCAGAAACTTTGGTGCTCGTAATGGTAGTATAAGATGGAAAGGGTTCTGCCATTTTAAGATTGTGTAAAGCATCTAACGTAGGTACCTTGGTATGTGCCTACTACGAAATTGTTGTTGGTTTTGATTGGTTACCCTGCACGAGGACACTTTCTGTGATTGGTGCTTCTTTTAATAACAATTCCTTATGGATCTGGATTTAATTTTAAGGAACTTGGAACTGCTGTATGCTCCTTACTAATGGAATGTTCTGTTGCTATTAATTCATGTGATTATAGTAACTTTGTTGCATAAGATAATAGGGTTGTCCTCTTTGGAAGCTGTTCTCATTACCAGTAAAATTGACGACATTGTTGATAGCAAAAGCAAAAGTGTATGCAAAGTTGAATTTCTTATGGAAAAATTTATGGTTGTGTCAATTATTTCCATGCCAAGTGTTTCATAATTTCTGGTCCTGAGTTGAAAAAAACATGCATGTTCTATGCTTGTCCAAGTCATGTGCTCAGTTTTACATATGGGCATGACTAATTGTACACACCCACGTGCCCCAGCCCAGCTGGTTCTAAGTGGTCAGTGCTTTGCGTCATGATGTCTGTGATTTTGTTCACTATTTAAGGAAAGATTTCAACTGGTTGGAATCATTGTGAGGGGTCCACAGCTGCTAGGCCTAGATTGTCTTCCTTAGGGTGACCAATTTTAATTTTAATTTTTTTTTTGTCATCCGTGGCAGTTGCCTGCGGTAACTTGTTAAGACTGCTAGTAGCATGTGATGTTTTGATGATATATGGCAAAGTACGTCATTAGTTCTTGAACGTAGGAACAAATTAGGATGAAGCCAGTGGTTGAATTGATTGTTTAAGCCTATAAAAGCTTAATTGGTTATTGTGATAAGCATCATAAGATTGAAGTTATTTCTTATATCTGTCATTAAGTGTTTAACATTAATGAGTGACTGGCAAAAAGATAGTGATTACATCACACATCTACATTAGATGTGCATGAAAGCTTTGTATGGCATCTTTCTGGATGTCTGCTGGTGAACTTCTGTTTTTGTTCCCATAAAATGATGCTTCTCCATGCATTTGTTTTTGAGCAAGCATGTGTAGGGATAGATATAGACAGTAACTTCTATTTCTTGAGTAATGGTTTTTATTCTCTGATGGTGCCTTTTATTCCTTCACTTTCCATTTAAAGGGACTGACCATTCAGGATTGTAAAATAGGCTTGCTCTTCCATATCTGATTGTGTTTTATCTTCCTTACAAGGACAATGTTGAAGAACGGGATGCAGGTTCCGTTAGTTATTAGTCCAATGTGATCATAACCTTTTCATTAACCTTCCAGTTAGAATTATGCATTATGCATCCTAAAATCATTTGTTTATGTTTTTTCATTTTATGTTTTCTTATTATTTTAGCATTTTAACTCGATGATTTTTTTTCTCTTTTACCCAGCTGCATATGGTTCATGTTCATCCATGGGCAAGAGTTCCCAAATCTTTTTATTTGTGACTTCCTTTTGGTTTCTGCATGCCTCTAAATCAGGTCTAGTATATGAGTGTATCATGTTGTATTTTTGCTAACAGTGGTAATTAATTCCTCCAGCTTCTTGAACACGCTCTTGAAGCATCTGGAAATGATCTAGATTCCACAATAAAGAGTTTGAATGACCTTCGATTAGAGTCAGCAGACTTCAACTTGGTTTCTGGTGTAAGAAAACCTGAAAATGGCAATGAAATGAATGCTCAGTTACCAACTGAAGGTAGATTTACATTCCACTATGCACTTCATTTATTGTGAAGCTTTGGTCTTTAAATATCGTAAATTTGCATAGTCACGTTTCTTTCCTTCAGGTGTCTTAGTGACCTATTACATTGATTGTTAAGATTTCATGTGGGACATTGAAAATAATGTATAAGTTCTTGTATTTGTAATTTTCTTTCTTTATTGTTAGTAATTTGTTCAAATTCTTGCAGTATTAGATGTTTTTAAACATTTTGATGAAAGAAATCATATTGCTTGTTCTGATATTGGATTCCCTTGAGATGGATTTTATGTTTATAACTCTGAAGTAACGACCATATGTAAAGAACTTGTAGATTCATTGGGTAGATACATGGACTTTAGTGTGCAGGTCATTGGGTAGATACATTGATGTTTTGTCAAGTAATATGTACTCCAGATTGAATTTCAGTAAGAATTCTTGTATTTCATACCTGATTCTGGGAGCAGTAAAAGGAAGGAATCTTTGTATCATTAGCCATATGATATCTTTGATGGTGACGTTAGTCAGTTTCTTATTTGCCATAGATGAACACTGTTTCAAGAATTATCCATAATTATTTTTCTTTGAATTCCCTATGTTTGTCAAGGATGATGTATAGCTGATAGAGAAGTACCAAGTAGAATCAAATACCATGTTGAAAGAAACCTTATCCTGCTAGAAGATGTGGGCGTAAATATTTTGTAAAATATTCAATTTTGAGGAGATATGAGTTTTCTGTTCCATTTCTTAATCATCATTCTTGTATTGGAATACTGGTGCTTATTTTGCTTTTCTAAAAAAATTATTTTGAAGTATATGTTCCATAAATATCCTTTTAATGTAAAAATATGTTTTGAAGAGCTAACATGAAAGATTAAAAGAGGGAAAAGGGAGAGAAGAGGAGGCAGGAGAATAGATGTGTCTGTGCCTAGTGAAAAGGAGCATAAGCTAGAATAGGGTGGTAAATGGTGATGGGCCAGTGGACGTGGTGGCAAGTATTTGGAGATGACAAATGTTGGGTTGCATTGGTGTTGTAGTGACTATGAGGTGCAACTATCAACAACTGATCTGTAGCAGGTGCTGGCCAATGGCTGATCTGTAATTGTGGGCGGTAACTAGCGAGACTGATAAATAGTAGGGGTAACAAGAGGTTGTGGAGTTGATCGATTGTGATGAGTGATTGATGGAGGTGGTGGCTGGAAATGATAGATGGTCTGTGGAGACATGAGTGTGGTCACGATGGACACTTTTAAGTTGATTAAAGCAAAATTATCTTCATTGAGGTCGGGACATATGGCACTGGCAAAAATAATTTAACATGAAAAAGCTGTTTCCAGTTTTATATGTTTAAGACCAGCAGGTACTTTGAAATATTTACTGCTTTCTGCTTTCTGCCTATAATAGAATTCTAAGACTTCTTGAGATGTAGTGGACAGGTTATTTTTAAGTCATGTGCACATGAGTGAATGAAGCAGTCAAATGCACTAATAGGGGTATTCATTTTTTTTATTTCCTAGAGTGCTACAATTGGAGTCAATCAATCAACACTTCTACTCTAATTCATAGTTTAGTTGACAAATGATGGACGAAATGTGGGCTTGAATAT